GGCTGAAAGCAAAACTGCAAACGTATGGTACGTTTTGCAAAAGGCTCTCTTGGGATGAGGGACGCACACAGTGACCTGTGTTCTTGGACGCGCCGTGTGGTCTCGGGCTTGAGACTCCTCTATTGGTTTGAGAGGCCTCTGGCCGCGCTCCCAACCTCGCTGGCAGGTGAGAGTATCAAGGGTGTGTACGTGGGTAAAGCATTAGTCACAGCATTTAGGAGAAGATGCCGTGATCCGTCAGTTTCCGGTCCACGTGGGTCAGTAAGAGAGACAGCTGTGGCGCGGGGCTTGGCAGCTTTCTTTGGGGGTGTGGATCCCAGGGTGATTGTGTGCCGCCGTGGGCCTTTTTCCTTAGTGCCTTTTCCTTTTCCTACCGAATCTGGAGGCTTCTTGTCAGCAGCAGAGGGACTGCGTGGCGGAAGAGCTAAATCGGATTCCCCTTGTAGGAAGTTGACAAAAAGCCCTGCAAAGGAGCTCTTGGGCGTCGGTTGGGGATCTGGCTTCACGGGGGGCTTGGGGGTACTTTTGGATCCAGGCCCCCCAGTCGTGCATCTGATAACCCCACCTTGCTCTTCCCTGCAAAGCTGCCGCACGTCTTCCTCCTTGATCCCTAGGGTGCCTCCCATCCGCCGCAGTGCTTCAGGCCGATCCTTTTGAGGCGCCTGAAAGTATCCCAGTAAGAGTCTCCTTACTAGGGTTTTGTCCACCATTCCTTCAGAGCGGCTTACGAGGTTCATCAGTTTCTTGTGCGTCTCATCCAGTACTTCCTGCTGGACCTCGTTCTGTTTTCTGAGTTCCTCCAGTTCGTCTTCCTTCAGGTCCAAGACGGTGTTTGTTGTAGTGAATCGTGCCTGTAAGGACGTCAGTTTTCCTTGTAGAGTGTCTGTCTTTCCCATCCACTCGGCTACCTCCGACTTGAGACTGGCTAGTGTTTGAGCGTACTGCTTTCCTTGTTCCTGCGAGGCAGAAAGCCGCGCCGCGGTTTCCTCTTTCTGTCGGGTGATGAGGCGCAGTTGGTCCCGCAGGGACTCCACCTGCATACTGGCCTGGTGGGTCGCACTCGCCGTGGCATTGGAGGACACCGCCAGCTTTTCCTCCAGCACCGTGACTTCTTTTTGCAGCTTAGCCACTTTGTCTTCTGCCGGCAGAGACCCACGCTGCCGAGTGTCCTCCGATTCCACAGCGCGGTGACGCGTTCTCCCCAGCTCCTGGTTCGGGTGTGATTCCTTGTCACGCAGCTGCTGAAGCTCATCCTGGAGGGCACAGTTTTCCCTCTGTTTGCGTTTCAGCGCCAACGGGACTCCTGCTGGAACACTCTCCTGCTGGAACACAACCGCCTTTTCCCGCGACGACGTAGCTGCATCTGGAAGCTGATTCCGTCCCCGGGCCTCGCCCTCTTCTCGCTCTCTCAGTAGTTGCTGCAGAGCAAGTGCCTTGGCTTCGATCGCAGCGTGGCGGGATTCCTCCTCTTGCCACATCCTCGAAAGCCTCACGTTGGCCTCTTGCAGTGCCTGCTTTTCTGCTTCCTTTTCCCTAGAGGATTCCGCTCTTTTTTCGTTTTCCTCTTTCAGTTGGCACACGTCCGTCTCCAGATCGGCTATTCTCTCCTTCAGGTTTCTCACCGCCTGCCTCAACAGCTCATTTTCACTCGCTTGGCCAGTGAGGTCCTGCGTTAAGGAATGCAACTCCTCGCTGTTCGCCTGGATCAGGAGCTCTTTAGCCTGGATTAAGTTGTGTAGAACCGCCTCTTCCTCCCTCAGCTGCTGGATTTCGGAATCGGCGCGTTCGCGTGCTTTGCGTTCGCGTTCTGACGCGGCAGCAGCGCGATGCATCAGCCTCTGGTTGTCTTCCTGCAGGGTTCGAATCGTCGTCTCTCGGTCTTGCACTGACTTCCTCAGCTCTTCCACCTCCTCTTGGAGCCACGGAGGAGACTCAGTCGCTGAGTCCGATGTAAAGGCCTTCAGAGGTTCCTCCGACTCTGAGGACTGGGTGGAGGGCTGGAGGCAGCTCACGTCAAGCTTCCCCAGAAGGCGATCCTGGGCGTTGCAGAGCTCCCCGACGCGGAGCTGAATTTGTGCCAGTTCCTTCTCCAGATTCCTTAGGCTGTTTTCATTTCCTCTGTAATCTCTGATCACGTCCCTATAGGTCGTCTCTAGCTCAGAATCACCGTCGATGTCGGTTAAGGCCCGCACCTGCTGTTGTCGAAGAAGCTCCTGTAGCCGGGGTGACTCGCGCTTCATATTTTGTACTGTGGCCGCCACCTGCTGCTTCCACTCTTCCATTATCTTCACTCGCTGCCTGAATGTGTCCCGTTCCTCTAGAAGCTCCTTGAACCGATGCACGGGCACGCCTGGAACCTCATCAGCGGTGCTGGGTGTTTGCAGAATTGTCAATAAAGTCTGACACTTCTGCCTTAAGGCGTCGACTTCGAGGTCTCTCTCTCGAATAATGTGGGATAAATGCCGAATCGTTTCTCTAAACATATCCTGACCACGATTTTCAATTCGAGTGGCCAGCTTTTTATTTTCCTCTTGCGTTTTCCTGAGGTCTGCTTCTCTGGACGCAATTACGTCTATCACTTTGTGATACTCTCTCTTCAGATTGCTATTCTCTCTCGTTTTGTCCTCTAAGACAGCCAGTGCCCGTTCGCTTTGCGGAGCAGACTCTTGCAACTGCCGCTGAAGCTGCTCTACGTGCTGGCCGTGAGAAGCCGCAGATATTCTGCTCCGAAGACCCTGAATCTCCGCATCTTTTTGCTCGATGATCCGAGTTAGTTTGCCGAGGTCATCCTGGGACAGCGGATCGGTCTGTTCAGTCAGCCGGATGTTCTTTTCGGTTAGAAGCTTCCCTCCCAGTTCTTGGTCTTCTATTCCTTGTGCCGATCTTTCCGTCTCGGCTTTAGAGACGTCATGCTGCCTTGTCGCGCCTTGGACAGCGTCAGAAGGTTGTGTTGCGACGTGCCGGCCTGGGGCGGCCAGCTGGGCTTTAACGTGTTCTACTGTGTCTTGCAAATTCTGAATCTCCTCGTCTTTGGCGGAAAGGAGCTGAGCGTGCTCACTGGTCATCTGCTCCCGCTGGCCTTTAAGATGGTCCACTTCCCGCGTCTGCTCTTCCAGGGAATGAAGCAGTCGTATCCTCCCCTGCTGTTGATCGTTAATGATCTTCTGTTGTTCTTTTATTTCGTCTTCGAGGTCCACTCTTAGTTCATTCAGCTGCAACACCTCACACTCTAGTTCCATGATGTCATCTGGGAGTTTAGGGAAAGCCTGACTCTGTTGTTTTAGTCGCTCCAGTTCTTCTCTCAGGTGAGTATTTTCTTTCGTCGTGGATGTGAGGGGTGTGTCTTTTTCCTCCACGGCTTGCTGTAAAATTTCATTTCTTCTTAAGGCTTGGGTACACGTTTCCAGGTCCTCTGGAAGCTCTGGACTTCCTTTAAGGCTGTCAATACAAATGTCTTTCTCTTTGACTAGTTGCGTCAGTGGCTTGTGTTCCTCCAAAACGCAGGCCAGGATTTCCTGGGTTTCTTTATGGTCGGCATCCATTTGCTCGAGACTCTTCTTGAGGTGTAATATTTCGATGTCCTTCTCTGGACCCACTTGAACGAAGCGGGCACGCTCCAGAGGTGAGGCCGAATGATCCGGGTTACGTGTGCTTGACAACTCTTTGATGGTTTGATCATGCTTGTTTGTTGCTTCCAAAAGCTTCTTCTCCGCCCGACACAGCTTGGCTATTAAATGTCCTTTATCGATTTTTAAAGCCCTCAGAGCGGTGTTTTTTTCCAGAGAATCGTCATTGCCACGGAGAATAGATTGTTCCAGCTGATGTCTTGTATCTTTGAGCGCCAAGACCAACCTGTGGTTTTCCTCTCTGAGATCAGTGCTGTGTCTGTTTAGAAGGTCATTCAGCTGCTCCATTTCTGAAACCTTTTGTTCCAGCCTTCTAAGCTCAGTTTCCCTCGCTCTAACTAAGTCGTCTTCCGGATGACCGGGAGAGTCTTGCTTAAGAGACTCCGTTAGCTCCTCTGTGGCACTACGGAGGGCCTTCTCGTCTTGTTTACTATGTTCCTGAGGTTCAGAGGCCTCCTTCTGGATGTTGAGGTGACCTCTTTCTGACCGATCTGGCCGATGCAAATCATTAGGCGCCAGTTCACTTTGAATTAACTTTTCTTTCTGCGCATCTAACTCTGTAGTCGCGCTCGTCTCATCTTCAGGTTGACAAGCTCTCTTTTCTTCCTCATTGACCTCTTGTCTTAGTTTAATGGTGATGCTACTGCCTTCATTTTCTTGTTGTGGTAGCTGGCCTTCCATGGAAGCCCCAGGCAGTGTGGTCCCGTCGTGTCCGTACGGTTCCCCTGACGCGGCTACCAGGGATTCCTCCTCCGTTGTCCTCTGATTGAAGTTTAGATCGTTGGCCTCCGAGTCTCGTCTTAACGGATGTACTTCTGAATGCGAGGCGATGTCTCCCGGAGCTGTGCGTTCAGTGGCCTCTTGTTCCTCGTTCACTTTAGGAAGCGGCGGTCCAAGTTCTTCCTTTCCTCGGCTTAACGATGAATTCTCTTGCCCCACAATGTGGACTCGCTCTAGAAGTTTCAGAGCGTCTTGCGTGAGATCGTTGTTGCCCTGGTCGGCGCCACACAGTCTCACCGTTCCCTTTCCGGCGTGGGACAGTGCTTCCTGCAGTCCGAACACTTCTTCCACTGGTGTACACCCTGAAAGAGCGCTCTCCTGCGTGACTCCTGCATCACGTCTCTTTGAAACGGAAGGCTGCAGTTCGTACTCCTCGATCTTGTCTGTCCTTCCTTCAGGTGTCTGGTCCTGTTCTCTCCTCAAAACGTCTCTTTCACTTTCTGCAGAAGATAGTTGGTCACTTAGGGATTGTATTCTTTCTTCCAGTTCTTCCATTTTCCTGGCAGACTCTGCTTTTTCAGTTTGTAGAACTTGAATGGTTTTCTGCAGGTGCTCAATCGGAGGGTCATCGGCTACTCTGATTGCACAGGTGTCCTTCTGTAACAGGCTTTGCAGTTCTTCAACCTTTTCCTCAAGGCCGTTCAGTTTTCCGCGGTACCTGCGGATGACGTCTGCGAGCTTCTGCCGGTGGACGTTCTGCAGTACTGCCATTTCGAGTTGGTGATCCTCAATTTCCTTGCTTCGCTTCTGCTCCAGTTCCCTGATGGTACTCTGCAGGTTGCGGATTTTGAGTGGCTCTAGGCTATTCGTTCCCTGCACCGAAGCCTGGGAAAGACGTTTCCAATGACTGACTTCGGCCTCAAGTCTTAAGACTTGACTTGACAATCTGTTTATTTCTTGCTGTGACCAGATCACATCAGCAAAGTCCACGGCGTCACCGTGGAAAGGTGAAGCGTGATGACCGAAATCGAAACTGGGGGAATGAGATTCCATGGCTGACAGTTGGCCACCAGCTGCAGAGTTTACCCTCGGAGCGGCTGACCGCGGCCCCAGCAATTCCTCCTCGGTCCCTTGTGGTTTTTCGCTAAGCAGTGCTATTTGTACCTGGTTCTTTTGGAGCTGATGTCGGTAGCCAGCACTCTGCTGCTTTAGTTGAAGCTCTGAAGCTTCATACTTCTCTGCTGGATCACTACACAGAGTTTTAAGTCTCTCATTCTGTGATGTTAAGGTCACCCGACTCACCTCGTCCTCCTTTCTCCCAGAGTCAGGTACCTCGTCCACCTTTTCCCTTCCCTTCGTCGGCACATCTCTGGTGACACTGAAGCTGTGGCCGGTGATGGAAGTCTCACTGCCGTCCGCTTGCCCTCGGAAACGGCCTAGGACAGAGCCCAGGCCACGGGTCCAGGAAAGCATTTGTGCGGGTCATAGAACCGATCTGGTCCACTTCGCAAAAAGCGTCCAGCCCGGTCGGACTACCCCGCCAAGTGTCCCAGAACTGCTGCCTGCGCAAGGCTAAGAACCCAAGGACAATGATGCGTTTCTAGGCAACGCCCGCCCCGGGTTCCGCTAGAGCAGGCCGGGAGTGGCAAGGCCTCGGGCCTTCTGAAGGCCGTCTGCGGCCCCCGGCCCGGCCCGCGCCACGCGTCCTCCCGACTGCGCACGCCAGGGCCGGGCCCCTTCCCCTGCTTCCCGCTGCGCTGGTTGTCCCGGGTGGGCCACGGAGCACGTGCCCACGTGCACCTGGCCCTCTCCTTCTCCTCGCCTAGTGGTATCCCACTACCCACGGTCCATGGACTCTGGTTTCCTCGCAGTATTAGTTTCTTAATTGAGGTGAAAGGCACACAGTGACACGCGTCCATGCCCCAAGGAGAGCAGATTCCGATTGCATAGAGGTTTCCGTCCTGGAGACCTTGGGCATTTGCAGCCTCCAGAAGCTCCCAGGTTCCCCGTCCCGGCCATCCTGCAGAGACAGGGCATCTGTCCCACGCCGGCTTTTGGGGGTACGCCAGCTGCCGCGTAGGCCTTCGTGTCTGCCGCTACGTGCGGGTGTGCAGCTGTGGCCCTGGCTGGGTGTCGTGGGCGGCGGTAGCGCTGGCCACTGCTCTCAGGGGTTCAGAATGGCTGCAAGGGTTGAAAGGAGTAATCTGGTGAAGTCTCGAAAAACTAGTGTCCCTTGCCTTCCAAAGAACAACTTGGGAAAGCCCAGAAATCCCCTTGCAGTGCAGCCTCTGTGGGTTAGTGGCTTAGTTTTGCCTTTAGCCCGGGGCATGATCCTGGGGACCTGGGATCGGGTCCCACGTCGGGCTCCCTACCCGGAACCTGCTTCTCCCTCTGCCTCTCTCTCCTGTGTCTCTCGTGAATAAATAAAATCTTTAAAAAAAGAACAAGAAATCCCCCTTCAAAGTAAGAAGAATTTAGAAGTGATTAGAAAGGATTGAAGCTTCGTGGGAAACTGCACCTACCTCCCTTGTACACAGATCAGCATTAGCAAACTACGGCCTTCACGCCAGCTCCAGCCCCAGTTGGCTGACACAGGTTTTTGCACTTTTAAATGGTTGAAGAAAAATTAAAAAATAATATTTTGTGACATTTAAAAATTGTATGAATTCATGTAGCACCTGGGCGGCTCATTCCCTTAAGGGTCCTTCTGACTTTCGATCTCATCACAGGTCTTAATCTCAGGGTCATGAGTTCAAGCCCCCTGTTTGGTTGGCCCCACGGTGGACATGAAACCCACTTAAAAAAAAAAAGTCACATGAATAATAGTTATAATATTTCAGCGGTTTGGGGGGAGGTGGGTAGGTGGAGGAGAGACATAATTTCTGATCTCTTCCTGTCACCGGCATTACCAATGCTGGGCTGTGCCTCCCATTTGGACTGTATTAACAGAGTTAGCCACCTGCATTCATTTTGGCAGCAGCTTCTCAGACACGAGGTGGCATGTCTAAGAAGACAAAATACACCTCCAGATCAGCCTCGCATACCAGTCCTCAGAGTGACTCCCAAAAGCCGCCTTGTGAGGTTGGCACCATACCCTGTGAGAGTCACTGGTGTAGACCCAAGGTTTGCACACGTTGGTAAACAGCCAGATAGTAAATATTTTGAGTTCTGCCGCCTGTATGGTCTCTGTTGGAGCAACTTAGCTCTGCTGTTGTGGCATGAGAGCAACCCATTGATGATAACATTAACCAACCCGCCTGGCTGTGCTCCAATAAAACTGTATTTGTGCACATGGAACCAGAATTTCATGTAATTCTTGTGTCCTCTTTTGAATCTTTTCCCAAACCATTTTATTTTTTTTTAAATGTTTTTTTTTTAATTTTTATTTATTTATGATAGTCACATAGAATGAGAGAGAGAGAGAGGCAGAGACACAGGCAGAGGGAGAAGCAGGCTCTATGCACCGGGAGCCCGACGTGGGATTCGATCCCGGGTCTCCAGGATCGCGCCCTGGGCCAAAGGCAGGCGCTAAACCGCTGCGCCACCCAGGGATCCCCTCCCAAACCATTTTAAAGTAAAAACTAGGGACACCTAGGGGGCTCAGTGGTTGAGCTTCTGCCTTTGGCTGAGGGCATGATCCTTGGGTCCTGGGAACAAGTCCCTTCTGGGAGCCTGCTTCTCCCTCTGGCTATGTCTCGGCCTCTCTTTCTGTGTCTCTCCTGAATAAATAAAGATCTAAAAAATAAATAAATAAAGTTAAATCTATTATTACTTTGCTGGCCATACCAAAATAGGCAGTGAGCTAGACTACACCTGTAGGCTATAGTTTGCGGACCCCTGGTAATATGGGTAGTTTGATTTTTGTATTTTTCAATGAAAAAAATATTAATTTTGGATGGCACTATCATTTTAATTTTGGTCATTATGGATTTTACTGTGGAAGGCACTTCTCATTTTCTGCCTATTGCTGTTGAATTTTCTTCTTGCTACTTTTGAAATCTAGAAAGTTGTTGTTTTCAACTCCTTCTGTATTGTTGGGACACCCATTTACTTTTTCATTAATTCATCGTACATTTATGAAGCACCTGCTGTGCAGCAGGCAGGTTGAAGACGGGTGCTGGACAGGGGACTGATGGACAAGATAGACTTGGTCTCTGGCCCTATAGAACTCTCTGACTGGGATGGGGTCAGTCAAGTGCAGTGCTTGGAAGATCGCAGCATGCACTGAAGGTGTGAACTGGAGCACTCGTTGCCATGGCTCCCAGAATACCTGCATCATGCAGCTGTGTGTGGCCTGAATGCCATAGTCAGCATCCTGGGAAACAAGATGCCATTCACAGCCGTGGTGTTGGGCCTTTGAGTGTAGTCATGGCGGAAACTTCTCCAGAAGTCAGTCCGCGATTAGAGTTGAAAACTGTCAGGCCGCTCAGAGATTCTCCTTTGACCCTGTGTCCTGGTTTAAGCATCTCTGTCTGTCTTTGGTGCATCTAACTGCTTCAGATCCGGAGCGTTTCCATTTTCTACTGGCCCAGGAAGGGGGCTGCGTGAAACTCCTGTCATCCACAAGCTCAGGGTGGGACGTTACCATAACCAGTTGGGAGAAAGGGGGACGACGAGGCCTGCACAGCCCTGCTTCTGTTAGGCTTTGGGAGTCATGAGGGGCAAATGCTACACTTTCCCAAAAAGGAATCAGGGAATTGAAAATGCTGCCTGATGTAAGCCGTGTTTGAATGACTAGTGCAATTGCCCAGTGGCTCGCATAGGAAAAAACAAACCCCAGAGTAAACGGCGAGCAGGAGGTGCTTTCCTGCTTCGTATTGTTTTCCCAGTTTCGGGCAGGAAACGTTCAAGTGGTTTCAAGCACAGAACATTGGACACAAGGCTTTGACAAAGCAGAAAAAAGACCCATATACAAAAAGTTTGGGTCTGTGTAGCAAAATGTCGGGTTTGAAACAATATGATTTAGCAAGTATTATTTAAAAAATTTTTTCGGATCACTTTGTCCTTAAGATGCAATGATAGGTTTAATATGGTGCTTCCCCTTCTTTGCTTTATTAATGAACTTTAAAAATCTAATCAAAAATCAGATCTCAGGACACAGCCCCAGTGGCTTAGCAGTTTAGTGCTGTGTCTTCAGCCCGGGGCCAGATGCTGGAGTCCTGGGATCAAGTCCCACGTCAGGCTTCCTGCATGTAGCCTGCTTCTCTCTCTGCCTGTGTCGCTGCCTCTCTCTCTCTCTCTCTCTCTTGCTCTCTCTCTCTCTCTCTGTTTCTCTGATGAATAAATAAATAAAATCTTTTAAAAAAATCAGATCTCAGCAAAGCCAAGTTCCGTGGCTAATATAAATGCCTTTTTTTTAAGATTTTTATTTTTTTATTTTTTATTTTTTTTAAGATTTTTATTTTATTTATTCATAGAGACAGAGAGAGAGAGAGAGAGAGAGAGAGGCAGAGACACAGGCAGAGGGAAAAGCAGGGGCACCACACAGAGAGCCCGACGTGGGACTCGATCCCGGGTCTCCAGGATCAGGCCCTGGGCTGCAGGCGGCACTAAACCGCTGCGCCACCGGGGCTGCCCTATAAATGCCTTTAACTGAGCACCATGGCCAGTATTCTGAATAATGGCTGGACTTTCCTTGGGTAAAATGTTCAGGTCTCTGGTAAAGTTGAACGCTTCAAGACAGGTCAGCATACAAAGGGCTGAGCCTTGGACTGGTCCCAGTGATGAAGAAGATCAAGTCATTTGGACCACATATTGGGGGAGATAGGGGCAGCGGTGGTTCCCTAAAATTAAGGTAGGGATACCATAGGCCAGTGGGGGTATCTTTGTGTGAAGGAGCCATCCCAGCTTGTATGTTACATTCCAGAATCATGATTTGTCACTTTAAAGGAATCTTTCCCAGATATCCTGTATCCATGGATTGGCAGATTTAATATTATTAAAGTGTCTGTGCTACCCGAAACTGTCTGCAGATTCAGTATAGTTCCTATCAAAACTCCAATGTCATTTTTCACAGAAAGAGGAAAATACTTCTAAAATCCATATACAACGACAAAAGAGGCAAATAGTCAATGCAGTTTTGATTTTTTTATAGTCCAGTATGATAAATGTATTTTCTCTTCCTTATCATTTGCTTAATAACATTTTCCTTTCTCTAACTTAATTTATCATAAGAATACAGTACATAATGCACATAACATATAAAACATGTTGAATGACTATTTGTGTTATCAGTGAGGCTTCTGGTCAGCCATAGCACTATTACTAGTTAAGTTTTCAGGAAGTTAAAATTTATATGTCTATTTTTGACTGCACCAGGGTGGACACACAGGTACTCCTGTGTTTTTCAAGGGCCCATGGTATGTCACAGAGCTATGGTGATCAAAATAGTACAGAATTGGCGTACAAAAGAATGTAAATCAGTGGGACAGACCAGAGAGCCCAGAAATAAATCCACATATAAAGAGCCATCTAATCGGGATTCCTGGGTGGCGCAGCGGTTTAGCACCTGCCTTTGGCCCAGGGCGCGATCCTGGAGACCCCGGATCGAATCCCACGTCAGGCTCCCAGTGCATGGAGCCTGATTCTCCCTCTGCCTGTGTCTCTGCCTCTCTCTCTCTCTCTCTCTCTCTCTCTCTCTCTCTCTCTCTGTGTGTGTGTGACTATCATAAATAAATAAAAATTAAAAAAAAATAGTCATCTAATCTTTGATGAAGGCACCAGGAATCCATAATGGGGAAAGGACAGTTCCCTTAACGAATAGTGTTGGGAAAATAATGCAAACTGGACCCTTACCTTTTTGAACTCTAAAAAAAATTTTTTTAAAGAGTTTATTTATTTATTTATTCATGAGAGACACACAGAATGAGGCAGAGACATAGGAAAAGAGAGAAGCAGGCTCCCTGCAGGGAGCCCAATGCAGGACTTGATCCTGGGGCCCCAGTGTCACAACCCGAGCCAAAGGCAGATGCTCAACCACTGAGCCACCCAGGGGCCCACCACTCCCAAAAACTAGCCTAAAATGAATTGAGGACTGAAATGTAATACTTGGAACCACAGATCTCTTAGAAGTAAATTTAGGGAGAAAGTTCCTTGATATCAGTCTTGGCAATGATTTCTTTTGTATATGACCCCAAAGGCACTCTCAACAAAAGACAAAATAAACAGGTAGGAGGACGACA